TAAGTTGCACGGACTCTTCCCATCAGATGGCGACCGATATCCCCCCCCCCCAATTGTTTCTGCTTGAGCACCGACCCCCAAGTCACCTTGTTAATTGGTATTAGGAGTGACTCATTCTGGCCTTGATATGCTAATTGCACTTTGTGAAGGAATTTACTGTAGGGACTTCTTTTGTGGTTATGGGAGCAACATTTCGTTCCTGAAAGACCAGTTTTTCTTAATACCTCGCATTAAGCGATGTTGACCTCTGCTCACAAAGAACTAACTTTTGCCTTTACCATGTGAATGCCACCTCTGGGCTGTTCCCCATTCTTTTGCATATCAATGTTCTGGAAAGTTTTTACTGATAAAAGGATTTATCAGAATGCCATTTCTGTGCTGTCTCCTAAACACTAAATCATAAAATAAAGTTGAGTCTCACAGTGCAGAGAGGCCTGGCTGGTGACCAGAAAGAATCTTGCACCACTCTCATCCCTCCCTCACCGACACCGTCCATCCTTCAGGGACCCCTGGACCCGGCTGGAGCGGGACTCCGGCATGCATCAAAAGGCATTTTGGCCATAAAGGGAAAGAGTGTCCCCCAAAGGGAAAATAGTAACTTTGTAGAAAAATGATCTGAAGCCACCTCTTTAACCAGGTGATCAAAATTAGAATCACCAGTAATTGGGACATTCTCCATCACCACCATGTGCTTTAGAGATGCAGTAACAGCACACCAGTCCTAGCTATTTTTGCTAAAATTGTTTAACCTAAATCTAAGTACGTACAAAGAATCACACATATCCAAACGTGGTACCTTTTCATAAGATAACTGGCCTGAACTTGTCAAAAAAGCCCATTAATGAAAAAAAAAGCCCATTAAGGCATCTGTTCTAAATTAGAAGAGGTTAAAGAGACATTACAACTCAATGTAAAAACTATGTGTGCTGTGTGTAGAAAGAAATGGAATGTGGCAAATGTTGCAAAGCGGTGGCCCCACCGAAGGGCATACAGTTCTTTCACCTTTTCTTCAGGCGTGGGGGTGGGGAGGAGGTAAAGCTGAAGCACCCACAAGGGTTAGAATAAGAGCCACAGAATAAACACAAGCGCGCGTGAGGAAAAGGGAAATATGCATTTCTGCTTCACGAAATAGAAAGAAGCTACTAGTGAAGGAGAATGACGACAAAGAGCTGACGTGCTCAAGACTAATAAAGAAACGTCTACCCAAGACTGACAAGAAAGGAAAACGCACAATATTAGATATAAATAAGGAAACATAACATGGATATAGTCAGGATCGCAAACGTAAGGCAGTTCTGCGGATAACTCTGCGATGAGTTTGAAGGCATGGACAAGATGAGAAAATGGGAAAACATTTTTCCTTGAAAGTACCACGGAATTCAGAACAGAAACCTAAACTATTATCACCAAAAATCTAGAGTTAAAAATCTCCCCACCCGGGGAACCTGGGTGGCTCAGTCGGTAGAGCAGCTGACTCTTGATTTCAGCTCAGGTCATGATCCCAGGGTTGTGGGATCGACCTCCACATTGGGCTCCACACTGGGTCTGGAGCCTGCTTGGGATTCTCTCTCTCTGTCTCTGTCTCTTTCTCACTCTCCCCCCCCACCCCCACCCCTGGCTCCTCTCCCCAGCGTGTGATCTCTTGCTCTTAAAACAAAACAAAACTTCTCACCACCCTAAACATGCCAGGCACAGTTGGTTTTACAGCAAGTTTTACCAAAATTTTTAGAAATCCAAAATTCCAATACTGTACAAGCACTTGTAATGAAAATAGAGCACTCTCCAACTCATTTTATGAAGTTGGCATAACCTTAATACAAAAACAAGGGCAGCACAGGAAAGAAAAAACTTAAACCATCTCACTTCTGAGCCTGGATGCCAAAATGCCCCCCAAATATCAGAAAACCAAGTGCAGCAGTATATTGGAAAATATATTACGACTGTTTTAGTCCAGGAATGCAAGGATGTTTTAGGGTTAGACACTGTCAAGGCAGCTTACCACATTTACAGGTTAAAGGAGAAAAAACACATGGCTAGCTCAGATTACTAGGTGTGCTCCTTGGCACCTATATGCAGGTGGGGGTGTGGTGAGGGAGGAAGCGGTTGGGAAAGTCCTAGTGGAAATGACCTGCTGTAAGGCTGATGCTAAAGTGATACAGGCACAGAGCCTGAAGGGCCATAAGTCCCAAACCTAACCCAAGGAGGTGCCACTACTCTTCGCATGGACTGACCAAGGCATGGGGGAAGGGCAGGGGGGGACCTCTTAGAACACTCAGCTCATTCTGGGAGTTCTACTCACTCATGGTTGGATTCTGCCACTAAATTGGGAAATGGAGGGGGCATCCAGCTTCAGAGAATGACAAAGGGGAGTACTATGCAGAACACAGGGCTGTACCTGCATCAGGAAGCTTAGCTATGACCCACAGGAGCTAAATGACTGATGAGAGATGGAGAAATGGCGATGAAAAGGTTTTAGGGGGAAAACAGGGGCTATGAAGTACATCACACAATCACTGAAAGCTAGAGAAATACCTAAGGGCAGGCTTACAGATGCAAAGCCAAAAAAAAAAAAAAATCACAGAGACACATGATTGAGTGGTTAACAGTCAAAACAGTACTTAGAGGAACATTTGTAGCCATAAATATGTTAGAAAACATGACTGAAATTAAGCATACAGCTCAATAAGGTAAATAGGAGCAAATAAACCCAAAGAAACAGAAGGAACGGGCCAATAAAGTAGGCAGACACCTTGCAAAGCTAGTCAAACAAAATGCAGAGAATACAGGACAAACGTTTGTTAGTTTTATCTGCTCTCACCCGTCCCCTTAGTCTGGTAAAAGAACCGCTCTATTGAGTGGGAGCATGCTGTACGTATGGATCAGGTTTGGCTCATCTCGCCTCCCGCCAAACCCCCACCCTCCCTGTTCAGCCGTGGCCACAGTGCTTGCTCAGGAGGAAGTACACAGATGTTACTGAAGGAACTCTTTGCCTGTAAGGACTGAGTGTAAACTGGAGCCTCCTGCTAATAACAATGGTAGCAAGAAAGAGCCTGGGCCACCTACAGAAACAGGTTAAGCCAAGAAATGAATGAGAAAGGGTCCATATGAAATCATGCTGGCCCTGGATCAGCTCTGCCTCGAGCTGTAGTCTTGGACTTCTGTCAACGGAGCCGTAGTTTGCTTCCGCTAGTTGGAATTAGATTTTGTCACTTATAAGAAAGTCCAAAATAATACTCCAAACAGCTTGAATACACATGAAATATGACTCAAAAGAATAAACTGCCAAAATGGACTCAAGGATAGAAAACCTGAACAGAATGGCACAGAATTAAAAAGCAAAGATCTACCCCTTAAAAAGGAACCAAATAGGGGCGCCTGGGTGGCTTAGTCAGTTAAGCATCAGTCTGCGACTCAGGTCATGATCTCATAGTATGTGGCTCTGAGTCCCGTGTCAGGCTCTCTTCTGAAAGCTCGGAGCCCAGAGCCTGCTTTGGATTCTGTGACTCCCTCTCTCTTTGCCCCTCCCCTGCTCATGCTCTCTCTCAAAAGTAAATAAACATAATTTTTTTTAAAAAAGGAACCAAATAGATATTTTTATAAATAAAGCCTACCAAACTTTAAGGCAACAAATAACTCCTGTTCTACAAATTATTGCAGGACAAAGGAAAAGATTATGATTAAAGGTCTCCAAATCCGTTCTACAAGGCTAACATAATGCTGTCTTCAAAATGGAACAGGGACACCATTAAAACAAAAAGTGAAATTGGCCCAGAAGTAAATACAAAAGTCCTTAAAAAAAAAAAAAAAAGAATAAATCCTCTAAAGGATTTATAAGGCTTTTTAAGAGAACCCAAGGACGGCTCAACGTGAGGAAGTCCGTTCACGGACATCAGCACAGTAATAAAATGAAGCCTTTTGGTTAACTTAGTAGATGTCAAAATCCATTACTGTTAAATAAAGGGTAAAAAACCTTTGGTAAGCTGGGAACAGAAGGAAGCATCTTCAGCCTAATGACATTTATCTACCAGAAGCCTAAAGCAAGAATTCTGTGACATGACATGAGAACCACTCCCACTGAGAGAAAAACAAGGACGCCACCCAACACTACGCTGGAGGTCCTGGCCCCTGTAATCCCCAAAAGAAAATGAGTGTCAAGGATAAAACTACCACCAGTAGGACATGATTGGACTACCTAGAAAGCCAAGAGAATTAACTGAAAAACTACAGAACTAAAGAATTCAGGGGCGCCTGGGTGTCAGTCTGTTAAGTGTCATGATCTCATAGTTCATGAGTTCGAGCCCTGCGTTGGCTCTGTGCTAACAGCGTGGAGTCTGCTTGGGATTCTCTCTCTCCCTGTCTCTCTCTGCCCTTCCCCTGCTTGCATGCACACTTTCTCTCAAATAAATGAACTTTTTAAAAATGTTTAAAAAAAAATTCCTAATTCTAAAATTCTAAAATGAACCAGAAATGTGAAAGGCCACATGAAGACCACCTTACAGAAGAATGTATATACCTCATTTCTGGAAAGACTCAAAACAGTTAAGACAGCGCCTTTCTCCATATCAAGCTAGATATATTCATTTATTTACTAATGTTTATTTTTGACAGACAGAGCTTGAGCAGGAGAGAGGCAGAGAGAGTGGGAGATCCAGAATCTGTAGCAGGCTCTAGCCTCTGAGCTATCAGCACAGATCAGCAGAGAGTCCGAGGTGGGGCTCGAGCTCATGAACTGTGAGATCATGACCTGAGCTGAAGTTGGACATTTAACTGACCAAGCCACCAGACACCCCTCAAGCTAGATTTAAAACCCTGCAAACGAAAATCTCAACAGGATTTTTAAACGGAAATTAACAAGTTCCTTCTAGAGTTCTTACGTAAGAGAAAATATGAAATTTTCAAGGAATAGTGAGGCAGGGGTGAGGGAGCTATGAGATTATCCTGCCACAAAACGTGGTAGGTACACATAGAACAGATTAGAAATTCCAAAGGAGACCCATAAATATGCAGGAATTCCGTTTATTTTAAAAAGACATTTTAAATCTGTGAATGAAGAATGACCCCCTCAGTAGAGGATATACAGAGGACTATCCCTTTAGAAAAAAAGTGACTTCCCATAAAAAATAAATTTCAGATGAGTTCGATATACACATACATATCCTTAACTCATCTGAAATTTATTTTATGTACACAAAGACACATATACACATGGATATGTTTAAAGCTGTTCTAAGGTAGAGAAGGAACGTGAACAGCAGCAGATAAATGAAGCATGACAAAAACCAAAACTTACACAGTCCTCAGGCAGGACAGACAAGCTAAAAAGCACAAAAGGTTTAAGTCCCACCGGATTACATGGGGGAAATTAAAGACAGGACAATCCAGAAGCACATCTGTATGGCTGGTAAGGAAAGGAGAGAGTTCCCGCCAAAGGCTACGGTTTCTTAATGAAGCGTGTGGTCAGCATAACCGGGGACGGGGGGATTGGTAGACAACGCAGAAGTTTTGAGATACAACATCCCAGAGAAGATCTGCTAGGCGGTGCCGTGTCCGCTTGAAGTCTGTAATAAAGAACTTCACGTAAAGCCAGGACCTAGGTTGGTGGTGTCCTGTACTGGTTACTTGAGCAGAGGCAGAGAGGGAAATGGTTGGCCAGGGTTAGGTCTCACAACATGAATACAGTGTGGGGAAACAAGGCAGCGGAGGGTGTGGGAAAGCAGAGATAGGAGAATAATGGTAAGAAGGGGTGGGGCGGGGGTGGGAGGGAGGACTGCAGATAAAGAGGAGGGAGTTGAGCCAGTAAGCAGGAAAAGCCAGGAGGTGGTGACCGCCCAGATGTGGGAATTCTAGAGGGGCTGCAACTCCTACCAATGGCAGGGGTCCAGGAAGTGACCAGCGATGGAGGCAGCAGGCCTGAAGTGGAAGACAAGGAACTAGGGGGCCACAGTGCTGGGGAGGCCACCCATGAGACGTAGACAATGATGACAGAAGCAGGAATAGGAGACTAAGCCAGGAGGTAAACTCTTCAAGGTCTGAACAGTGATTAGGTCAATGTCAACAACGAACAGGGAGTGTAGGGCCCAAGGGAAAAGCTTCAAAGGACAAGGGGGGTGGTTTGCAAGAGGGCCGAGGAGTCTGTGTAGCCAGAAGGCCTAGCCACAAGGCCGCCACCAACCAGAGGACGTACCCAGCAGCACAGAGGTGGGCGTTCCTGCAGTGGCTACAGTGGCGGTGACTAAGTGACTGCCAGAAAAACAGCTTAGGAGGCACTATGATATTTGTCCTGAGTGCCTCTTAGAGGCGGGGGTGCTAGGTCCTAGAGCTGTGTTCCTGAATGCCTGACTCAGTATTGTTTGCAAGCAGGCAACAGAGCGGTTGCCCCGTTATTAAATACATGCACGAAGGCACAGCACAGGGCCTGGCGCTTATTAAGTGTCCGGCAAGAATCCAGGAAAGGTTCCAGCCATTTCCATCTCCTGCCTATTTAGGACCTGCACCAAGGAGCAGTTTTTAACTTCACGAGTCCCTCCTCCCTCCAGAGAGCCACTCAGACACCAGCACAAGTCGTCACCCACCAGGGGTTTAATTCTCCTTGAGCAGAAGGTCAGCTCAGAGAGAGGCCCTGCCTTGTCCCCTGTCCAGAGGGGGAAGATGTGCAGGACACCCGAGGAATGTCTGAGCTCAGAGGAGTCAATACTAGTCTCTGGGCAAGAGAAGTGGGTCGAGGGACTCATCAGGCTGCCTCCTCCTCCTCGCTCTCCTCCTCGCTCTCATGATACTGTCTGCGGTTGGTGTTAACAAAAAGGTCAGAATCATCTTCAGAGCTGGATTCTTCTCCTGAGGACTGTGGCTCCACCGGGAGTTCTGGCTGAGTCTGTCTGCATGGGGGAAAGAGACAGGGTTACCCCGATGCCTTCTGGGAAAACTAGATCTGCAATTAAGGAGCCCCACAAAAAGGCCAAGAAAAACGGTCTAAAGACTACCTCCCACCCCACATCAAAAGTTTGCCAGAGCCACTGGTTTTAATAAGGATTCCAATCACCAACACTTAATGGACTCACACTACATACTATCAGACTAAGCAATTTTACAAGCATTAACTCCTTTAATCCTCACAAAGCTCTCATTTCATAGGCGGGGGAAATCCGGCTTAAGACATCAAGTAACCTGCTTAAAACCATTCATTTACAAGTGGTAATGCCATGATTTTAACCCCAGGCATCTGACTTTCAAGCCACACTCACAACCAAACACTTAGGCGCTCTCACCAGAGACTCTACACAGAGAGAAAGAATGTCTCTATTTGCCCCTCCAGCCTCCAAGGCCTTAACCCCTATTTTCTGTTCTAAGGCTTGTTCCTCACCTGTTCCTGCTATTGTTGTGCTTCTCAGCCACTTGTGAGAAGGCCTCTGGCCTGTACCAAGAGAAGAGCCACGGTCAGAAAAGACAGAAAAATCTATGAGCAAAAAAGCGGTTTCCAGCTGTCCTTGCCTGGGATGCCATGATCTCCCCTCCCCCAACTCCACAGCTAGGAAGTCAGTCTCCCCAGAAATGAGACAGACACCCTACCAGAGCCCTTCCTTCTGCAGTGAGCGCACATGGTCTTTGCAGAGCACGAAGGAGATCTCAGCCTTCACTTTTTCTCCCTCTTCAATCGGGTCAACGATGAGGAAGTCGCCTGCAGGTTAGAGACAAGAAAAGACACAATAAATCCTGCTTGCCTGGGGGAAACCAAGCCCAAAGGAAATAGCTGTCTCCTACAGGGCGCCTCTCTCACCTCTCTTGATCCAGATGTTCTTCCGGTATTTGGAGGGCATGCTCACTAGGAAGCGCTGTCCCTGGGCTGTCTCCACCTCATGCAGATTGTTCCCTGGGGTCCTGAGTACCTGGTCCAAGAAAGACCAAGAACGAGTCAGCCTCATCAGCCGGCTCGAACACTCAGTACACTGTGCTGCCCCCACCGCCATGCCAGGGTCCCAAGGGGAGCAGAGGGATGGGGAAGCAGAGCAGCTTATGCCCAATGCCACTCACCCTCACGATCTGCTGCTGGTCGGAGGGCACCATATGCTCCCCCAGCACCTCCTTCACCACATGCTTCCTCTTGGTGGCCTGAGACATGCTGGGTCCCGTCCCAGGGTGGCGAGGGATGGGGAGACTGTCAACAACTCCTCCTGAGTTTCTTGGATGGCAAGTTCGGAACCAGGACTGTTCCAAGACGGAGAGAGGCCTTTTACTGACGAGTGACTATGTCCTGGTTAAGAACGTGACCTCTAAAATCTAATTACTAGGATTCAAATTCTACCTTGGATATGCCCTAGGTGTTCAACTTCCCTAGTTTCAAGAGAGAAATCGTAGCTAATTCCGATCACTGTTAGCAGAATAAAATGAGGCAAGCAAAGCACTTAGTACAGCACACGGCACATAAAAACAACTCATGCTTGGGTGGCTCAGTAGATTAAGTGACCAACTCTTGACATCGTCTCAGGTCCTGATCCTGAAGTTGTGAGATCGAGCCCCGCAACTGGCTCTGTGCTGAGCCGGGAGTCTGCTTGGGGTTCATATTCGTTCTCTCTCAATACAAACATTTTATTTATTTTTGTTGTTTTTAACGTTTATTCTTGAGACCGAGAGAGACAGAGCATGAGCAGGAGAAACGCAGAGAGAGAAGACCCAAAACCTGAAGCAGGGTCCAGACTCCTAGCTGTCGGCACAGAGCCCGAGCAGAGCTCGAACTCACCAACAGCGAAATCATGACCTGAGCCAAAGTTGGGACACTCAACCGACTGACCCATGCAGGCGTCTTCCGAAATAAACATTTTATTTTTATTTATTTTTTAATGTTTATTTGTTTCTGAGAGAGAGAGCGAGCATGAGCAGGGGAAGGTCAGAGAGAGGGAGACACAGAATCTGAAGCAGGCTCCCGGCTCTGAGTTAGTTGTCAGCAGAGCCCGACGCGGGGCTCGAACCCACGAACCGTGAGATCATGACCTGAGCCGAAGTCGGACGCCCAACCGACTGAGCCACCCAGGTGCCCCCGAAATAAACATTTTAAATAAACATTAAAAAGAAACCCTCTTATCACGTGTACTGGCATCATCACAGAAACGAAATACATGTTCTACTTCCGGCAACCACCCGGGAAAGAGTGTGAGATCAACTGTATGCTCCTCAACACATCTGTACATCGTTAGCACAGCCACACAACACAGATGTTCGATTTTTCAACACACTACAGGCAGAGACCGATGGTCCGAGCCAGAAACAAGTTCATAAAAGGTCGGGTAAGCCAGCGTGGTCTGCGGCCTCTGCTGCTTTCTGGCTTGGGTCCGAAGACAGGACTGGTACCACCAAAGGAAACCCCAAAGTGTCACCTCTAGCCGCTGTCCCCTGCCCTCCTCCCTCCCCTAGAGGAAAGACGCTGAGAGCGAGACCCACACTTACTCTCTGGCCTTCGTCTCCCACGGGCTGCCCGAACGATCTCGTTCTCCAGGGCGCTAAGAGCAGCTCGCCCACGACTCACTTCGCAGCTAAGCCAGCGAAGGCACAGGAAAGGGGCCTGCCGGCGGTCACGACGACAACGGCGTGGACATAGACTCACTTCCCCCGCACCTCCCACTCCTACCCGATTCCAAGCCGGGCGACGACGAAGACTAAGCGAGCACTCCTCTGTCGGAGCCTTCCGAGCACCGTACTTCCGGCGCTACCTCGGAAGCCTACTGGCTCCCCTCCCCCGTCTCGTCCGTCTCTCTAACTCTTCCCACCGCCAGGTCGGCCAAGGCTAAGGTTTTAGGTTCCCGATGCCGTGCAGCGGGGACTGCAGTTTTCCCTGAGGTCTCAGCTTCCCTGAGACCGGACATACTGCCCCGGAAAGCGAGACCCCAGAAGGCCGCCGAGCTCCCCGAAAGGCAACCCGAAAGCAAAGCCCACTAAAAGCGCCGTTGAGGTCGAGAGCGCCTCATCTCTATGGCTCTAGGCGGCTAGAAGCGCCCAATTCGGAATTTTTTTCGAGGAGGCTCTTGAGGCGACCCGGAAGCGGAAGTGGAAGAAAGTTCTAGTGGGTTGAGGTATCGCTCGGAGCAGCTGGGTGGCGGGAGGAGCCGTTACGGGAGCCGGAGCTGCCGGTGAGCACTAGCTGCGGGGCAGGGCCGGAGCTGGTGGCGGGAGGAGGCGCGGGGAGGCGAGGTGGAGAGGGGCCTGGGCGCCGTAGCGGCCTAGAGGACGCGCCGCCGGAGAGGGCCTGGCCGCCGTGCGGGGAGAGGGCGGGGCGCGGCGCGGCGGCGCGTGGAGGGGGCGGGGCGGCGCGCGTGGGGCGGGGCCTGTGGGCGGGGCGGCGCGCGAGCGCGAGCGCGGACCCGGCCGCGCGGGAAGAGCAGGTGTGCGCGCTCGCTCTCTGGCGTGCGCGGGCAAAGGGGCCAGAGAGACCCTTCATTTGCTCTTGGGGCCAGGAGAGCCGCTCCAGGCGCGGTCAGTGCCTTAGCCCAGCCAAGGTCACAGAGGGACTGACAGCTTCGGGGCGGGCCCTGGCTACTGACTTTGGGAATCTTCCCACTGCCCCGAGTGCGCCACCTGTGAGGGCAGGAGAGTTTTTTTTTTCCCGGGCACCGCTTAAAACCCAGTTTCCGCGCAGAAGGGTTCTTTTCCCCGACGGGGAACACAGTCTTCATGGACCCCGGTTCTCTCCTCCGTGAAAGGAGGAGAATCGAGTTAGCCGCCGTAGTGGCCCGTTTCGCATTCTCTTAATAGATCAGTGCCCCTGGGCCCTTGGGAGTCCCGGTTTCCAGCCCTAACTACATTTTCTTGGGATTCTCAGATTAAGCCGATCGAGATGACAACCTCCCAAAAGCACCGAGACTTCGTGGCCGAGCCCATGGGGGAAAAGCCAGTGGGGAGCCTGGCCGGGATTGGTGAAGTCTTGGGCAAGAAGCTGGAGGAAAGGGGCTTTGACAAGGTGCGGGGCGACTGCGTGCACGTGGGCAGAGGGCACGCCACCATGTTTCCTGGCAGTTTGGGGGTGAGGAAAGAGCGAGAGTCACTGTCGGGGGTGGACAGTGGTGTGTGTTCTGAAGAGATAGCCAGAGCCTGCCCTGCTTGTCAGCCTTCCGTCGTTTGTTTCTTGGTCCCACGGAGCACTTAGCAGCGTTCCCTTTGCTTTGCCCGTTTTGCAGGCCTATGTGGTCCTTGGTCAGTTCCTGGTGCTAAAGAAAGATGAAGACCTCTTCCGGGAGTGGCTGAAGGACACGTGCGGAGCCAATGCCAAGCAGTCCCGGGACTGCTTCGGGTGCCTCCGAGAGTGGTGCGACGCCTTCTTGTGAGGCTCTCTGGGCAGCTCCCAGCCCCCAGCCCCAGCATGGAGTTTCCAGAGTTTGCAGCCGCGCGGGGACTCCTCCCCTGTCCTCCACAAAGAAAGAGATTGTCGTACTCAGCCTCCGATGTGCTCCAAGGTCTTTCGGGAGTCCTCTCCCCTCACCATTTCAACTTTTTTGAAACTCTCGCCCTTGCATGCATCTCCCTTCACCTTCCCCTGCCAGTTTCATGTCAACAATTACCCACTTCTCCGACTGGATTCCTGGCCCTTCCCTGACCCCCCACTCCCCCTCCCACCTCTGGTCCGTTTTATGCTATTTGGCTCCTTTTTTGGCAAAACAGTCACTGTCCTTGTAAAGTTTTTTAAATCAATAAAGTCAGTGGCCTTCGTGACTGGGCTCTGTGCATTGAAAAGCAGCTGGGCTGGGACTTCCCCACGGGCCCAGCAGGTCCGCCACACTCCTTATCAGTGCAGATCGAAACTAGCAGCCTCCTTCCCACCCTGGAGGGCAGCCACCCTAGCCACGTAGGCCTCAGCCAGGTGCCTTGGAGTGTCCCTTAGTAACCTGGCAGAGAGTGTGGGTTGAGATCTTCCTGGGATCTGGGCGGGCTGTGAGGTTCCAGGTATCATCTGAGTCCACAGCTGGCGTAGGCAGCACCTGGTGGAACAGTCAGTGGGAGTCCAGGGTGCCAGGAAGAGGGTGAATCAGATGTAGGTAAGAGTTCACCTGGCGATCGTCGTGTGCTTTCCTGGTCTTTGGGTGGAGTGGACGGGGCCTCTGGCTGTCTCTTAGAAAGAACATGAACATCTCAACTATGAGGGCTTGAATGAGTTGTACTTCTGTTGGGTATATTTTTGCCCTGGTCTGTTGAACACTCGGTATGAACGAGGCCCGCAGCTAAGATCTTTGCAAACATTTTTTTTTTCTCCCATTGTAATAGGTAATTGTTTTCTCTTTTACAGGTGAGGAAACCAGAGGCTCAGAGAGACTAAGTCATTTGACCATGGACTTACTGCTAGGAAGTAGCCAGATTGGCCCTCAAAATGTAGCTCAAAACCCACGGACCCGAGGGCCCTTTGTTCCCTGGTCATGTCACTTGACCTCTCCGAGCCTCTGTTTCCCACTTGGAAGATGAGGTTGTTGTAAGGATCAGGTGAAACGCTAGCTGCTTAGCGCCCAGCCCTGCCTGGCTCTCATTCTGTCCCTGGAGCACCAACGAACTGCTTGCTTACAGAATTTTCCCCAGAGGGCTTACAGTCTGGTGAGCAGAGCACGACAGGTTTTAAATGCAAAAACTGGGATACGATGAGAAGATTCTCGTGATCCCAGGGAAAGGAACAACTAAGGAAAAGTTGGTAAATTCAAATCCATTAATAGAAACTTTGTCTAAAGTACCAGAGAGAGTGGCAGGGTAACCCAGGGTGGGAAAGGATATTTGCAAAACCACCAAGGGCTGCATCCAGAGAACTGGCCTGTAAGATGAAGCGACCACGAGATAGAAAAAGTAAAAGACCTGAAAGGCAGCCATGAGAGGAATACCCAAAATGGTGGATAAGCTTATGAAAAGGTTCTCAATCAAATCATCAGAAATGCAAATGAGATGCTATTATGCCCTCCCTGGCGAAAATTCCAAAGTCAAACAATACTGTGGGCTGACGAGGGAATGAAGCAACACTTTCCATCCAGCTGGTGGGAGTGCAAATTGGCGTGAGCCCTCTGGGAAACAGTTGGGAGGTTGGGCGTTTTCTAGTAAAAAGAGAAGACCCCTCCTGCCACCTAGCAGATCCACTCCCGGGGCTGTCACTAAGGTCACTCGCACACCCGCACCTGGAGTGTTCACACCAGCTTTATTTATAACAGCCCCCCAACTGGAATAACTCTAATGGCTGTCAGGGCCAGTGAACACGACCAAATGACAGGTGAATTTCAATACAGAGTGAAGCAGATGTCAAATGCTGTGATCTCATTCATGTAAAGTTGACAAGCGGATCCTTGCTCAGGGGTCTCTGTATGGGCAGTAAAACTAGAAAAAAAAAACAAATGCTTATTGTAAAAGCCAGTAGTAGAAGTGGCAGTAATTCCCTTTAGGGGAAGGAGGTGTGAGGAGTGGGGGGCTTGGGGGTGGGGGTGGCCGTTTCCATTTCTTGACCGTGTGGTGACGACACAGGCTTTGACTGATTGTTTTTTGTTGTTGTTTTTTTTTTTTTTTTTAATATTTTTATTTCTAGGAGAGAGAGAGAGACAGCGCGAGCAGGGGAGGGTCAGAGAGAGAGGGAGTCACAGACTGAAACAGGCTCCAGGCTCTGAGCTGGCAGTCAGCACAGAGCCCGACGCGGGGCTCGAACCCACGAACCGTGAGATCATGACCTAAGGGAAAGTCGGACGCTCAACCGACTAAGCCACCCAGGCGCCCCATTATTTGTTAACACATACGTGCTGTTGTGCTTTTCTGTTTAAGCTCCGTCTCAGACTAGTGGAAGGATAAAAAGAAAACCAAAAGTAAAGCCCCCGGGACAGCGCGGTTATGTGCTTGGTTGGAAAGCGGAGTGGTTATCGGCGGGCACCCTCCAGAAGGGCACCGGGAGGCCAGAGCAGGGCCCGGCTTGCATTGGAGACCACCTTCTGGGAGGATGCCGGTGTGACTCCCAGCCCGCCGCGGTAGTTCAGGCCACATTTCTGAGGTTTTCCCGGATGGGCCCAGGGTCACCTCAGAGTCCCCTCAGCCTCGACCCCTTGTGTTGTGACGCTGTCACGCGGGCCTGCTGCGCTTAGGCAGGGGCTTGGCAGGGCCGTGCCCTCCCCCCACCTCAAGCCTGACCCCCCCAGGGAGCTGCTGACGCGCAGTGAGGTAATGGAGACCGCCTCCTCCCCCACAACACCCTGCCCAGGGCGCCTGCCAGGTTTTGCCTCTCCTTCTGGCAAGGAGGCCCGCCCAGCAGAAGCTTGTGCGCCACGCTGCCTGCTCTGCCGCCTCGTCGTGGGCTCTTCCCTGCCTTGCCCACGGTCTCTGTCTCCGAAGTGGCTGGAACCGGCCTTCTCACCTCTCACTCGGGGCTCGGGCAGTGTCTGTGACAGGTTAACAGGTTGAAACCCTTGATGCGGGCCCCTCAGCGCATCCCACCCAAGTCCCTGGTTCAGTCCTAGAGCAGCAGGGGACAAAAGGCATCTAGAATGTGCTTGGTGACTGTGGCTTCAGAGATCCAGCCCCAACTTAGCCTGCAGGACAAAGGGACCGAGGCCTGTAGTGTCGGAGAAAGCAGGCCTGAGTGGGGACGGGTAGGAGGGTATCCAAATGTCAACCCACACGGCTCAACAGGATGTGCCCGGCCAGGGGGCATGGGTGGGCAGGGAGGTCAGCCATTGTGGCCCACCGTTCCTCCCTCCCCGGCTGTCCCCAGCCAGAGCTTGACCCACTCGGCCGCTCTAGTCGTGAGTACTCAGATCTGGACAGAGCTCGGGGTGAACCCAGCTTCCGTGCTCTGGAGTCCTGAATGGGTCCTGCTGCCCCTGGAGGGAACTAACGAGGGGGCACAGGATGAACCCCTCCCCCGCCCCTCTCTGGCCCAGGAGCGGCCCGGATGGTGTGAAAGGCTCAGAGTGTATGCTCATGGCCATCACCCCCCACCCAGTCCCGTTGCCCACACCCCCTCAGGGACCCAAGGCTCTTTCTACTGTCACTCCTGGCCTTGACCGAGGATAGCCTGAAGGCGCCAGCCAGACCTGGTTCTGATCTCCGGTCCTCCGTGGCTTGCTGTGCAGCCTGATGCCAGCTGCTCACTCTTCTGAGCCTCAGTGATCTCTCCTGTTGCCTGGTGTAGGTTTGTAAAGATTCAACCAGCTAATGAGCCCGAAGCCCCTGGCACTCTGGGGCCACAGATGGGAGCTGCAGTCACAGCTGGACCTCAGCCTTCTTTGCCTTAACGTCTCTTTTCCGGGATGTGGTTTGGGAAAGGGGAGCAAAGCCCTGGGGGAGGGACGATCCGTGGCCCAGCTGAACGTCCAGGGAAGAGAGTTCGAGGCGGGCAGCACAGAGGCCCTGGGTAGCCTGATCCTAGGGTGAGAAGGATGTCGAGAGCCCACCCTGGTCAGCAAGCCCCACCGGCCAGGGGCAAGAGGGGGGTGCCGCGGGCAACCTGGATTGGGATCCATGGGCCACAGCACAAATGAAGACTATGCCCTGCGGCCTGTAGGGACGGCCACCCCAGCGCTCACATCTGGCCCAGGCCTCCTTCTGAAGCCAGAGTGATCCGGACAGGATGGAGCACAGGCTGAGGGCTCGTCCCCAGCCCTGGGAAAACCCTGGTGGGTTTCCCTGCCTCCAGGGAGCCTCCCCCTACACAGCAGACCTCATATCCCCGCGGAGCGGTCCAGGACTCACAAACTAGGACCCTGGCATGCGGGTACCAACGGGCTCCACCACCGACACTTTTCCTTTGACCTCCCCCACGTCCCCCCTAGTAAAACGGCTTCTGCTGAGCAGTTATGAGGATGAAAGAGTGTGTCGAGTGTGTCGAGACCCCAGGGCAAGGCCTGGCACGTATCGGAAGCCCATCAATTGTTTTTTAGCCTTCCCCATCCCTCTTTCCCACCAAGACACGGCTTCTAGCTGCGTGACCCTAGACAAATGACCTGACCTCTCTGATTAACCTTCTTCATCTGAAAAACGAGCTTGATGCGTCCTACCTTAGGGTGCTTATGATAGACCAGTGGGTGAAAGGTCTTTGGAGATTGTTAGGTTGTGTTCCAAACTGTGGTACTCGTTCACCGTTCACCGGCACAAAGGAGTGAGGGGGAGGGGAGGGGCCAGGGACTAAGGGACCCACAGGCCTTTGGTGAGTCAGAGCCGAGGCCTTGGCTAATTTTCCAGGGAGCTGTTGGATGTAAGAGTAGCCATGGCTGAGCTCAAACAATGGCAAAGTAGGACTGGGAGAGCTTGACCCCCTGGGGCTGAGAGGCTCCTGACCCCCTGGGGCTGCCTCTCCCTCCTCGGCCCTGAGCCTCTTACTCCACCCCTCCCAGGTTCTCTCGGGTTGGGTTTCTGCCTCCCCATTGAGCCAAGAGGGAGCCAGCTCTCCCACAAACGGGGATCTGTCCCTTTAAGGCAGACACCTGAGCCTGCCGCTTGTGACTTGTTCCTTGGAATCCCAGATTGGTTTTCACAGCTGAGCTGAGGGGGTGGGGAGCAGCTGGGCCAGGTCTCCCTGGGAGGAAATCACTGCCCTTCCTGGCCCTGGGATTCTGCGACTGGGAATTTTGCCTGCTCATAATATGCATCATCATAATAGCCACCAACAGTTTGTCAGGTACTTTAACCCACTGCTTCTTACAAACCCCAAGTGGGATCCTTGGAGGGCCTAAGCACAAACAAGATCTTAGTGCCCCAGGGCAAAATGCACCCCCCCCCCCCACAAACTGTGATTAAAAGTACAAGCTACACCAAGCTCTAAAACACAAATAAGGAAGCCCACCAAGATTCAGACTTTTCCCCCATTAGCTACTTCAGTGCTGTTATTAATTACCAGGTTTTTCAAAAACAAAAACAAAAAACAAAACCTCATAGTGTCCTATTTTGCTGCTACCTTCAGCATGCGCAGTTGATCTATGGGTCGCCCAGTCTCGGGTGTTAATATCGGAATAACTTTAGCAGGTAAGAGTGGTCACCTATCCTCAGATGATGACACAGAGGCCTTGGGAGGCCAAGGGACTTGTCCAAGTCACCAGTCAGTAAATGACAGAGCCCTTTCTGGCCATCTTTATCTTTGGGCTCAGTGTGGTTCAAGACCGCAGATGTGAGACTGACTGCCTGGGCTCAAAAGTCAGCATCTTTATTTATGTCATTTATTCTTTTTTTTTTTTTTTTACTGTTTGGATGAATTTTATTTTATTATGTCATTTATTCTTTACTAGCTGGCGTCCTGGGGAGAATCAGTTCTCCCTCTCTGCATCCTGTTGCTTCCTGTGTAAAGTGGAAACATTACTAATTCCCATTTCATGCTGGTTGTGAGGGTCAAACTGTGCCCAGCTCAGCACACTAATCTCCTTTCCTGTTGTTTTTATAGGACCAGAACTTCTCTAAGCACTTTGCCTGTTGAGTCCTCCCAGCTACCTATTTTACAGAGAGGGAAACTGAGGCAATGAGTGATTAAGTGATTAAGTAATTTCTTCCATGTTACCCGGGTAGTAAACGGTGGCAATAGTAAGTCCTCGCTAATGGTTGTTGGTATTTCATACCGGTTGAGCCTTCCATGAGCTGTTTGAGCTGTTTGCATCGTGGCACTTGCCGGGGACTGTCACCGCCTTTTCCCTCACCAAACTGGGTATGTCCCTGGAGGGCAGGGCAGCATCGTGGGGGACACAGGTGTGCTCGGGCCTTGGACTGCCCCCTTGGGCGCGAGGAAGAAGAAGGCGGGCTCTCAGATCGCCCAGGTTCATTGATCCCTCCCAGGCTCGGCGCTGGGTGGGCGGGGCGGGTGGGGCGCTTGCCTATAAAAGCGGCGGGGCAGCGCGGGCCTGGCACTGACAATCTCGAGGTCATGGCGAACCTGAGCTTCTCGCGGGCTCTGGGCCTGGGACTGGGGCTGTTCCTGCTCTGCCTCCTGGCGCTGCCCCGCGATGCCTGTGCTCTCCCGGGGAGTCGCTTAGTTGGAGAACGCCAGGACCTGTCACCCAGCGACCCGCAGGTGCAAAAAGCAGCGCAGGCGGCCTTGGCCAGCTACAACATGGGCAGCAACAGCCTCTACTACTTCCGCGACACCAGGATCCTCAAGGCCCAGAGTCAGGTGTGGCTGGGCGAGCGGGTCAGGGGCGAGGGGCAGCCCCCCCTACCCCAGGCTAGGGCAAGGCCAGTAGGGCATTGAGCCGGCGGCCAGGTTAAGGGGGTACCTCAAGAGTAATCAGGACATTTTAATACAATGTATTTTTTAAATTGGATTAATGCCAAGAATTCATTATGAACAACATATCTAGATTTCAATGGGCAGGATGCAGCCCTGTCTCACTAGCCTCACAGATGCCCTGGCCCTGAGGGGAGGATTGGGGAGAGGGGAGTGAGGGAGATAGAGCAATGGCCTTCATTCAGGACATGAGCACACCCGGGTCTCAGCTTCCTGTGTGGCCCAGGCCTCTGGCCCTCATCCCAGGGATCGCCCCTAGAAACTTCCCCACCCAGGGTCTGAATCCCGAGGCCGAGGCCAGCATACTGAATGTGGAGAGGTGAGAGGTCAGGGTCAAGGGTAGTCTTCCAGTACCCCTCACCTGCTCCTGCCCTCCATCCCCAGCTGGTGTCTGGTGTCAAGTATTACCTGACCATGGAGATGGGGAGCACAGCCTGCCGGAAGAACATGGCCGCTGGAGATGGCATAGATATCACTGCCTGCCCCCTGGCCACAGGAGTGCAGGAGGAGGTAATAGCACCCCACTGCCCAGCACCCAAGGCCCAAGGTTGTCCAGCCTGAACTGGTCTGCTTGGCCAGGCTGATATCTGGCTGAACCTGTCCCTGCCTTCTGGATGACTCAGCCGCCAGGCCAGGGTGGGGTGCAGAGAGGAGGAGACTGGGGTTTCTCCCTTACGGGAGTGGGCTAGCAAGATCCGGGAGCTAGCCCTGGCCATCCGACTCTTTGTCCCTTTGAGCCCGTGACTGCCGCTCTCGCACCCCAGAGTGCAGCGTCGCAGGCTGAGGATGGCATTGCGGGGCCCACACTCACCTCTCCTTCTCTCCCTGCAGAAACTGCGCTGTGACTTCGAGATCCTCGTGATCCCCTGGGAAAATACCTCCCGGCTCCTAAAGCATAACTGTGTGACCATATCCTAGACCCCGTCAGGCATGGGAACCGGAAGGAGCAGGTGCAGTGGGGAAGGCCCTTCAGGTCCATGGACGTATCTGTCACAATAAACTGTTGCCACTGCTTCTCACACTGGACTCTCCTGAGTGCTTCCCTCCCCTCCCCCAGGACTCAGAGCTCCCAGCCTGTGAGAGTCCTCTGCCCGCACGTGGGCTAGCAGAGTCCCCACAGGCCATGAGACCATGAGGGTAGGGACACTGGTCAAGTATACACTGTGGGCCATATGCCAGAGGGACTTCTCAGTGCTTTGCTCCAGGCAAGACTCTTGGAGGGGGACGGACAGGAAGCCCCAAGGGGACCGGAGGTCACATCTCCTGTCCACAGGAGGGATGAGGGGACAGATGCAATTCGATGTCATTTAAAGAAAAAGGAACTGCAACATTTTATGCACAACTGCAGATGTGGGTGCGATTGATACTCACTATCTGCACACATACACACACACACACACACAAACCACAGTACACACTTGGATGCTCCAGAAACACAGGTGCACACAGAAGCAACACCCTCCACCCCAAGCAACCCAGAGATATATATAGACCTCCAAACACACAGCCGCAGAGACCCACATCCCCCCCTGGGAGCTGGGCCTCAGACACAATGCACGTGCGCGTACACACACACACACACACACACACACACACACACACACACCGGAACAGGAAGAGCAGTGACTAGATCCCTTGGGAGCACCAGGTGTGGGCCCCAGCAGGCCCCGGTGGGCTGAACTGCGGTGGGTGCGGATCTGGGGAATGTCCCTGCCCCTGGCTTCTGTCCCTCCAGGCAAGGCCTACCATCCCCCATCGTGCCTGCCTCCAGTCCCCTGCCCGGTGCTGGGACCTAATGAGGAGAAGCCCCGGGTCCCAGGCCCTGCCCTCTGTTCTCAGAGGCCACATTGGGGTAGGGATGGGGAGGTGGAAAATAGAGGTAACTTCCAGAACACTGAGGAGCTAAAGGGCTGAGTTTGACTGGAACTAAGGGTGCAGGGGAAAACTTCAGCCCTGCTTGAGCCTGTCAGACAGGCATTTCAGACAGCCCAGGGGCATGGAGTGTGGAGGCCAGCCTCCCCTCCTCCCGTGTGCCACCAGGCGGGAGCCTCGACACTCGGACTGGACCGGCACAGCGGAAGTGGCAGGAAATGCTCGTTGAAAGAATGTGTGAGGTGGTGTGCGAGGCGAGGCCTGGGGATACCTGCCAGGTGGCCTCTCTGCCCCCGAATCTGTGAATCTGCGCAGGGATCCCAGATGGCATTTCAGCTTCAGTCTATTCCCAGGCCTCGGGCCAGCGAGGGAGGGCTGCTTCTGCCCCAGGGCCTGGAGTTTTCACCTTTATCTGGCCCAGCCTAGAGGTGGGGGGAAGACTGGCCAAACCGTCGCCCCTCGGCCCCCACTGGAGTCCCGCTCCCACTCGAGTCCTGCTCCTGACCCCCTCCAGCCTGTACTGTGCCCCAGCCTCACTCTACCAGGGACAAGGTGGCTGTCATAGACAGTGCAACCCCCCGACTCTGGCTGCGAAGCGCCGGGGCCGGGCTCAAGCCTGACTCCGCACTAGGTCTCCGGCACCCTGCACAGGCCCAGGCATTTGTGGACCTGGGTCAGAGCCTTACCTCCAACAAAGCCATGGGGACAGGCTCTGGGCATTTTGCCCAGGTTCAGGGTGAAGGTAGGGGAGCTCGTCTAAGCCCTGGACCAGGCAGGGTGCGGAGTGACCATTAGTCTCATTGCCTGCTTTCCTCCAACAAAGGCTCATCCATCCCCCCAACACACACTCACACTCACACACACTCACACATGCTGTGTTCTCACCCTCCCCCCATCTGCACCCCCACCAAGGCCAGAAGGACTTGAACAGCCTCCACCCTACTTCCCTCACTGAGGTTCTTTATTTTTTTTTTTTTAATTTTTATTTATTTCTAGGAGAGAGAGAGAGAGACAGCGTGAGCAGGGGAGGGTCAGAGAGAGAAGGAGTCACAGACTGAAACAGGCTCCTGGCTCTGAGCTGGCAGTCAGCACAGAGCCCGACGCGGGGCTCGAACCCACGAACCGCGAGATCATGACCCAAGCGAAAGTCGGACGCTTAACCGACTAAGCCACCCAGGCGCCCCCCCTCAATGAGGTTCTTTAATGTGACCCCAGGCAGGGCAGGGTATAGCAATGACCTCTGACCTCTGGGTGCATGCTATCGCCATCAAGGCGGCACTCTTGTACTGGATCCTTGACAGGCCCCGATTCCTGGGCTCTGAGCCCCTGTTTCTGGAACCTACTGATCTCCCAGGCCCCGACAACCAGGGGCTGTTCCAGCTGGTTCTTTTTCTCCCAACTCCGAGGCTAGATGGACCTTCCTCCCCAAAGCAAGGCAAGTGCCCACTCACCCCTCCAGCACTGAGCCTGGCCCCCTTTCCAGCTGCTGCTAATGCACTGCGGGCCTGAGCCAGGATGCGGGCCCTGGCAGGGCGGGAGGGGCTGGAGGGGACCGAGAACAGCGCCTGCCATGCACAACACACTCTCTCTCTCTCTCTCACACACACCAGTGCACACAGTTCCTCTGCCCTGTGCCTTGGCTTACCCAGGGAGGACACAGAGACATTTGGGGTTCTAAAACTCTGTTAGGGCCCAGCCCTGCGGGCCCGAAACCCATTCCAGCAGATGTGGAAACTTGTCCTGACCCACCCCGGTGGGCAGCTTGCCAGAGGCCGAAGGCGTCATCCCGAGTCTCTCTCCATCCAGGGGTCACTTCCTGAAGTCCTCGTCTCCAACCTGCAGGGGTGGGAGGGAGGGTGACTGAGCCAGTACCGGCCTCTGTCCTCTCGCATGCCCCCGTGACCGTCAGGGGCACGTCTGGGCGTGAGCCACCCATGCCTGGCTTTCTGGGGTCCTGCCACAGGCCAGCCCCTCTCCTCTGGTCCTGCCCGGCTCACCTCAAACGCAGCATCCACAATCTCATCCAGGACGGACGCCTGGGAGCGGAATTTCTGTTGATGATGCTCCACTCCGGCCACCAGTTGCAGGAAGTGGAACAGGAGCTCCTGCTGCCTGGGGGTGGGAGGGGGGTGAAGGAGAGGTGAGGGGCCCTCTGGGCTCCCAGAGGCCCCCTTCCCTTCCCCCCACAGCCGTCTTGCTTGCCACCCACCAGCCCGCCATCACAGCTTTTCTGAGTGTGGCCTTTCGTGGTGTGTCTCCTCCTCCACAAGTGAAAAGCCCGTGTGTGCCTGCGCCACAGAGGATTCTAGCCGTTGTTTCCCACCCCCCGCCCCCGATTATCCATCCCTCCCTCCATCCACACGTCTGCTTGCCCCTCCAACTACGCATACCTCTCTAGGCACCCAGTCACCCACCGACCCATTCACGCCCCCACCCACCTAGCCATTCACTCACTCATCGTACCACCCTGACCTTGTCGTTGCTCACCCGTCCCCCCCATCTACCTGCTCAGTCCCTGGTCCCAGCCACTCACCCCTTCTCCATGTTGTGCAGTCAGTCATCAACCGAATCCCCCTCCCCAACCATTCATGCAGCCACCCAGCCATCAGCCCCCTCATCACCTGCCTGTTTTATAAATCCATCCACCAAATGACACTGAAATAAAGGATGCTGCCACCTGCTCTGAGGACACAGGAGTGAACAAGAAACCATCCTTGCCCTTAAGAAGCAATGCCTATGGCAGAGCCAGGAAAGCAAACCGAGTGTTTACACTCGGGAGAAGTGCAAACACAGAGTGCTGAGGGTCCTAACCCCAGGAGGAAAACCCCATCCAGTTCTGGGGATCAGAAAAGGCTTCCAGGGGCGCCTGGGTGGCTCAGTTGGTTAAGCGCCCGACTTTTCTCAGGTCATGATCACATGGTTTGTGAGTTCAAGCCCCGCATGGGGCTCTGTGCTGACAGCTGGCTCAGAGCCTGGAGCCTGTCTCAGATTCTGTGTCTCCCTCTCTCTCTGCCCCTCTCCCACTCGTGCTCTGTCTCTGTCTCAAAAATAAACAAAACAAAACAAAACGAAACAAAACAAAAGAAAAAAAAGAAAAGGCTTCCAGAGGAAGTCCCATGGAGCGGAGCTGGAAACACACATGAGGGTTTGCCAGGCTTGGGCAAGCTTGCTGGTCCCCTACTCCGGAAGAACGGGATTACGCTGGGGGCCAGGGCACACCTCAGGGAAGGAGGCTGTAGAGAGTGGATGAACTGGAGAATGCAAGATGCCCAGACCTTATCCTAAAGGAGGCAAGACCCTTGCAGGGTCTCAAATTCTGGCGATGAAAGAAAAGCCCAAATTACTTTTAACGAAGACCACTAAGAAAGGAAAGATAAGACAAATGGACAATAACAACACAAACAAAACCAGAGAGCACTCTTAGTGGAGATAGACCAGTGGGGAAGAGTCTGGAGGCCAAGAAACCCCCAAGGAAAGTGTTTCAGAGGTGCCAAGAGTCCACTATGCCAGGGACCAAGTTGCTGGAATGTGGCGGGGAGAGGACGGCTGGGGGGGGGGGGTTGCTGAGGTGAAGTGAGCAGGGTTGGAACTCAGCTCTCCCCAATCCTGGTCACTTGAGACTGGGCATTGGCAGCAGAGAACAGTTAGAGAGAACAGTGTGGGCAGAGGCCCAGATGTGCCAGGTGGGAGTGGCCGTAAGGAAATGAGGGAGGTTGGCAAAGGCTTGATCCCAGAGGGCCTTTGGGGCTTGAGCTCTGATGGGGGGTGAGAAGAGGCTGGAGGCTGCCCCATCGGCTGGTCTGGAGCCAGGCTGGCTGAGGTCGAGCGGGGCCCAGCTTTCAGAGAGAAGGTTCTCTGAGGAGCCAGGAAGCAGGAGTCTGTGCCATGGTCCCCCAGCCAGGAGCACAGCCACGAGTCCCCAGCCGTCCTGGACCAACTGGCCAATCGATTCGACAGGAATGGGGTGCTGACCATCTGCTTCCCAGGCCTTTGCCCAAGCTGTTCTTTGACCCATCCTTCTCATCCCTCCACCTAACCGAGAGGTCCACTGCCCTCCATGGCCCAGCACAGGTCCTTAGCAATAGGGCTGTCATGAGCGGGGCCTAGTCTGTGTCCTCTTTGGGTCCCTGGAACCCTCACAGGGCCTGACCCAGAGCAAGAGTCAGGAAGGAGCTTTCATGGCCCTTTGGGCACCACTGGTGGGATTCTCTTGGTGGCACGAGACAGCTGTGGGTGAGCAGACCTCTCACAGCCTCCATGTCCACCCATAGGCTCTACGTGAGCCTTGGCTCTCCACCCCCCTTCCAGAGAGGTGGGCAATGTCCCTTTCCTGGCCAGACCATGGGCTCCCCTCCCTCTGCGCCTCCTTACTTCTCACTTATGGTCCCAAATTTCTTCTCAATGAGCTGCTTCTGTTTGGTGCCTTCACTCACTACCTCTTCAGGCTCTGGAGGTAAAAAAGGGGAATGTCAAGGAGATGCCTGGATCGAGAGCAGGTAGAAGAAACCTTGTGTGTCGCGGAGATATTCAAATGGGGCTAAAGGAAGGGGCACCTGGGTGGGTGGCTCAGTCGGTTGGTTAAGCGTCTAACTTGGTCGTGATCGCCTCACGGTTCACGACTTCGGGCCCCAAGTCGGGCTCTGTGCTGACAGCTCAGAACCTGGAGACTGCTTCGGATTCTGCGCCTCCCTCTCTCTCTGCCCCTCGTCCCACTCTCTGTCTCTCTGTCTCTTTCTCAAAAATAAACACTAAACAACAAAAAGCAAATGGGGCTAAAGGAGTTTTTGTCCATGATGCCCCTGAAGAGATGGCTTCTCATGTGGAGCGGGTATCAGTTTTGTTTGTTTGTCTGTCTCCTGGTAAACGTCCCCCAGTTTCCCTGAGGAACCACTCCTGCACCTTTTTGGGTCCACATCATCCAACAGGGGTTGACCCTGTCCCCTACCTCCAAGGACATGTGACTCAGACCTGGCCAATCAGAACAGCTTATTCTTTTGGCTACAGTGATTGGTTCCAAAATAGTCAGGTGATCCAAGCAAAGAGGCCTCATGTCTGGGATTTTGTCGGAACTGCTGGAAGAAGAGTTACAGCAGGGAACCCCTCTGCGGGCAGGCTAGGGGTGCCTAACCTGCCAGGATTTGGGACTTGAGTGGTGGGCGGCCATTTTCCTAACACAAGGGAAGAACCACCCTAATCACAAAAACACGCAGAGGACTACTGAGCAGAGAGATAGAAGGACACCAACTCCTGGATCCAGCCATTCCTGAAACCCCCCACACCTTCAATTTGTTAAGAAATTTGAGCCAATTAATTCCTCTCTTTCCTTAAGCTTTTTTTTTTTTTTCCCTGAGCGTCTATCCCTGATGGAGGGGCCAGGGAAGGGACCAGGTGACCCCTGGGGATCCTTAGTCCTCTAGTGTTGATGAGCCTAAGTGTGGGATTCTTGGAGCTCAGATTCTAAAGTTCCGAAGATCTTTAAGCAGGAAGCAGATCAACTGTCCCAATGTCAATTCATTCAGAAAATCAGCTTTGTAAAAATGTGTACAGGAAACTTGAGTTTTTACTCTCAGTCCACTTTGAGTGACTGGATGAGTGTGTAGTCAGTTGGAACCATGCCCTGTAAAAGCAACTGCTATAACCTTTATAAGTTATTAGAAGAAATGAGTATTTGGCAGATCGTAATCTGGCTAATTAGTCATTTCATAAAGGGGGCTTTCAAGAATTGACAATCCGTTTAATTGGCTTTTAGAGGATTGCCTTAGAGCTCTTTGGACCAAAGGTCTAAGCGCGGTAAGTTCTACTGAGTCTCAGATTCTCAAACTCTGCCACTGAGCCGGGAATCCTGTGTCTCACTGCGGAGGGAGGGCCAGCACCTGATTTGCTGAGTTCTGTCAGTGAGTCATCCAGCAGCTTCTCATGGATCCGGGCGGCCCTCTGGGAAGAAGAGGCTTTCCTGGAGCACCCTCCGCCCTCCCCTCCAGCCTCTGCCCACCCCTCAGGCTTCCCTGACTGGCCCACCTGCCCCACCCGACTCAGTACCTCCTGCTTTACTTTCTCCAGGCCTTTGAGCAGAGCCATCTGGAAGTTATCGACCAGGACTGCAATCACCAGGCTGGGATGGGGGGGGATGGGAGGGGTGGGGGGAGGGGATAACTCTCAAGGAGGAAGTTATAGGAGAGGCCCCTGCAACTCTCCTCTGGATTCCTTGTAGCAAAACCAAGGGGGGAGGGCTGGAGAGGCTGGGGAGGGGCGCCCCAAGGTCAGGCGGGGATTGGGGGTGAAGCTGGGGAGCAGAGTAGGGGTGGGGTCCTCACTTGAGGAAGATGAAGTATTGGATGATGATGTAAATCATGAGAATAGGGATGATGTACCAGGCTCCTGGGAAAGAGGGTGTCACGTGAGCTGTGAGTTCCTGGACAGCCCTCACCACACCCCTGCCAGCTAGCACCAGAAGCCCCGCTTTGCAGAAGGGGTCACTGAACCCTTGGGGGCTGCCCTCCCAGCCAAGCCCCTGCCCTCCACCCAGCCTGGGGCCTGTCCCACCCTGGGCCCGATTGTCCATGTAGATGAGGGACCAGTCGTCCAGGGTGAGCATGGTGAAGAGGGTGAAGATGGTGGTGAAGATGTTCTGGAAGCGCTTGGGGTCAGATTGACGGAACAGAGCCCGGAGCACCACGGAGAAGAGGACTGGCTGTTCAGGGTCAAACCAGGCTCACGGGGTCCCGCGCCCCCTCCACAGCCCCCCTCCTTCCACCGCAGCCCCTCAGGCTCCCACCCCTGTCCCCACAGCACAGGATACAGAGGCAGGTAAACATGAGGATGAGGATGGCTGTGATGGATGGCAAGGACCGGACCAGAGTCCCGGTCACTTCCTGGAGGCTGGTCAAGAAGCTGTGGGCAGAAGTGGAGAGAGGGGCTGAATGAATGAGAGGCGTGGGAACCTGCCCAGCAGCCAGAACTGAAAGTGTGCGCAGGCGGTCCCCCCCCCCCCCAATTTTGCCAGTGGCTTGGGACCGTCCAGCCCTCTCTGGAAAACGATTGATCTGAGCAGATAGCAGGAGGCTTATCAGAAGCAGGCTGGAGCCTGGAGCCTCTTCATCCCCCATCCCCCATCCCCCATCCCCCATCCCTTAAACAGGTCACAGGAGATTTCCTGGTTGCCCCCGCCTGTGGCCCGATTTCCTGTGGAGTCCCCACACCAGGGCGGGCCGCCATGGCCCAGCTGACCTGAGCCTCCGCAGGACCCGGATGGCCCTCAGGGCCCGCAGGCTCTTGAAGACCTTGAAAATCCGGAAGACACTTTGGTGGTAGACAAAGGAGAAGGTGTTGAACTGCAAGAACATGAAGTCCAGAATAGCCATGATCATGATGAAGAAGTCTGAGGGCACAGGGGCGAGGGGGGAAGGGGGCTGTCACTGGCTCCTGCCCAGGCTCCTCGCCCAGACCCCCAGGCGACCCAACGCCAACACCCTCCATCAGCCCACTTTTGTCCTCAGCCTCCTCTAGCAGTCCAGTGGCTCCCTCCGCACACACACGCAGACACGCACACCATTCTTACTCACCCAGAAGGTTCCAGGAGTCAGAAAAATACTTGAGGCCTAGAGCAAGGATCTTGAGCACGGCTTCTATTACGTAGATGCAGAGGAAAATGGAGTCCAAGGCCATGAAGAACCACTCTGCAGGGACACAAGCGGCTCACTCAGGGCCGTCGCCAGCAGCCCTAGCCCTTCTCCTCACTTCCCTTCTGGAACCTCACACAGCCATTCAACGAGGACCCAGCTCTGCCCTAATGGCTGCCTGTCTTCACTGCTCTGTGCCTCAGTTTTCTTGTCGGCGAAGCAGTGATAATATTGTCATTGGCCAGGGGCACCTGGGTGGCTCAGTTGGTTAAGCATCCGACTTCGGCTCAGGTCATGATCCCGCAGTTCGTGAGTTCGAGCCCTACATCGGGCTCTGTGCTGACAGCTCAGAGCCTGGAGTCTGCTTCCGAGTCTGTGTCTCCTTCTCTCTCTGCACCTCCCCTGCTCACACTCTGTCTCTCTGTCTCTCAAAAATAAATAAACATTAAAAAAATGTATTGTCATTGGCCTGGCCCCCTGAACTCGGGACTGACCTCCTGCATCAGGAAACTTCTAGAAGCTTCTGCCTGTCCATCAGTCTTGCCTTTTAGAAACTAAGGAAGAAACTGCTGGAACGGAATAAAGATACATTTGAGGAAGACCACCTGCACAGAATCGGAGAGTGCCAGAAAGTGTCTCAGCCTCATTATAATGTTAAAATGCCCCTCTGATTATTCACCCCAAGCCCCAATAAAAGGAGTCTGCTTTCCCTTGTTGGGGGAATCACAGCTTTAGAAAGTATTCCTCTTGGGGCGTGTGGGTGGCTCAGTCGGTTGGGTGGCCGACTTCGGCTCAGGTCATGATCTTACAGTTCGTGGGTTTGAGCCCCGCATCAGGGTCTGTGCTGACAGCTCAGAGCCTGGAGCTTGTTTCGGATTCTGTGTCTCCCTCTCTCTCTCTGACCCTCCTCTGCTCATGCTGTCTTTTTCTCTCTCAGAAATAAATAAAATGTTAAAAAAAAAATCTGGAAAAAAAAAAACAAAAAGAAAGTATTCCTCTTGATCTCCTTATTTCTACAGATATACATGACCTTGTGAGGTCTCCACCTGGTGTAACCTGCCTGTAACTCACCAGGCAGCAGACCCACCTTGATCTGGTGATGATACCGATGTGTCTCAGCATTTTTGTGAACATTATATTCATTTCACACAGAAAGAATAAGAATGCAGCCACTCTTATTCTCTCTTTAGTTAATGTGTACTGTGGCAGGCCTTTCTTTAATCCTATTACCAGGAGTCCTAGAGGCTCGCTTCCCCACCACCCTCACCCCTCCACAGCATCCTCTCGGTCTCCCGGCCCTTCTGGGCGACCTGGGTTCCTCCAGCTGCCCAGCAAAGCAGTGCGTTTAGGTTTGATGCGCCACCTTGTGGCTGTATCACAAACAGCACGTCCTCCAGTTCAGCTGGCCTTTCTGTCTCTGGCTGGTTGGTTGATCTCAGCAAAACCTCTGAGCCTCACCTTGAATACTGGGCAATGTTGGCGACTTCCCAGGGGTAAGAATCAAATGAGCTAAGTTACATTAACCACCTGACACTAGATTAGGTCCACTAGGAGGCCGGGAGCAAGATCTATGGCCTTTTCTGTGTGAAAGGGGATTCCCTAGCTCTTACCACCCCGGACCTCGACTTCAGCGAAGGTCTGGGCCACAAGCATGATAGTGTTGAGGCTGACAATGAAGAAGATGAAAGCTTCAAAGGGTAGGGAATCAGTCAGGTTCCTAAGCATTTTCCGGAGGCGCTGCATGAAGTAGCTTAATTTTTCCCACAGCCTGTAGAAGAGGTCCATGGTGTGCAGCCTCTTATGGGCCCGCTGAGCTCTGGTGGCTGTAAGGGGGACAGAAAGTCAAGTCTGTGTGGGAGGGAGGGGCATGGGGATCCCGCGCATCCTCCCAGATTAACTTGGGGATAGTCTTCATGCCTGCCTACTTGCCTCCCAATCACTCACTGAAGTCCTGTGCTGCTCCTGGGGCCACAGTCCTGACCCCTTCCATGGCAGATGCCAGCCTGTTTGGGATTTGTGGTCTCCTCAAGCGCATCTTGGAAGCTCATGCTTCTATACCTCCGGGCCTTTCTTTACCCACATGGCAACTTATGCATGGAAAACCCCATTCTCCTCATGACCCCATCATCTTGATAAACTCTCCCTCTCCCTCTGAGATCCTGCTGAAACATCTCCTCCTTTTAGCTGCCTTCCCTACTCCTATCCAGTTGGGCACCTACTCCTCTCTGCTTGTTTGTGAGACTGTTGCTCTGTTTACTGAACCACTAGAGGCCACTCTTGGGGGACTGTGCATTAATAGCTAATGTCCCTCCCTGCCCTCAAGGTCCTCATTCAGACACCGGTTCCCAGTCTCTGAGCATCCCAAGATGCTCATGGTTTAGTGGGGGAAATGTGGACAAATAAAATCCACAGTGGTAACTGTCCTGATTGGGGGGGGGGGCTAGTCTAGGATTGATCCCCAGTCTTGGAGCCCATTGAGGGCAGGACTTGTTTTCTCTCTGCTTCTAGGTTCCAGGCAGGCCCAGCACCCATATTAGACAAGAGGACATGTTCAATCAGTGAATATACACATGCAAGGCAATGACTGGATGAATAAGTAGCTGATGGCCTAAAGAGGTTCATCATTCAAGGAATAAAAGATTGGATGATGAACAGTCAGGTGAGTGAATAGCCAGTGGACTACGCATGCAGGTAAGAGTCATGCCTCATGATCTGCAGAAGGTCAGGGCCCAAATCAGGCCTGAAATCTGGGCCAGGCAGTGGGAGTTGGGGCTCTGGGGAGCAGAGACTCACTTTTACGCTTCTGCAATTGCTCTTCTTCTTCTTCTTCTTTCCAGGTTTCCGAGAAAGTGGTGGAGGAGAGATCCTGAGGATGGACTTTGTTGGATATCTGGGATGCATACGAGTGCACTACACTGCGGGAACGACTCAAGCTGAAGCCTGAGTACTGTATGTGTGCCGTGCTAGGCTGGAGGCTTGTTAGATGAGAATGGACAGAGATGAGGGAGCGTCTGGCCACACTGTGAGACCTGTGTGGGCCAAAGACTTGGGAGCTACTGTGATGGTACTCCCCGTAGCGCTGATCACCCTGAGGATCATAACGATGTATAGCATGTTGGTGCTTGCCACGGTGGCGCTCCTTGTGGTGGTGCTTGCCACGGCGGCGCTCTGCATGGTGGCCATGGTGGCGTTCTCCGTGGTAGCCCTGGTGGTGCTCAGTTTGGTGGCTGTGAGGTATGCGATCCTGGTAGGACCCCGCATAGGAATTGTGGGAATGGGTCTCTGCATGATGAAGAGACTTTGTGGGGTGGTGGACTTTGTGATGGTCCTTACCATGGTGATAGACCTCACTGGGATGGTGAGAGCCACTATCTTTCTGGTTGTAAGGCTTACCTTGGTGATGGAGCCCACTATGGTGGGAAACTTTGCCATGACGGTGAGACCTATCATCATGGTGAGACTCCCTATGGTGGTGAGATTGCCCACCATGCTGGTAGGAATCATCATGGTGGAGAGGTGTATCATGATGCCTCCTGCTACCATGGTGGTAATCACCATCAAAGTGACCATCATCAAAGGAATGATGGGAAAGAACAGTGCCACGAGAAGGAGACAGGGCAAAGGATGTGAAAGGGTGGGCTCCACCATGATGGTGGGCCTCACCATGGTGGCGGGACTCATCATGGTGGTGGGACTCTCCGTGGCGGTGGGACTCTCCGTGATGGTGGGATATGCCATGATGGTGGGACTCTCTATGGTGGTGAGACTCACTGTGATGGTGAGACTCACCGTGATGGTGGGGTATGCCTTGATGGTGGGACTCACCATTGTAGTGGGACTCACCATGGTAATGAGACTCATGATGGTGGTGGACTCCACTATGGCTTGGCCTGTGATGTGGCATTGGTGAGTTGGGGCGAGATAAAACATCCAAAGTATTGGTGTCTGCCTCATTTTGAGCTGTTTTAGCCGATGAGGGTTGATCCATGACTATACTGGGACCTCTGAAATGAGAAGAGCTCAAATGTGGGCTCAGAGACTTTCTCTCGGAATTCTCCCTTTATGATGTCACTAGCGGGCCCCTTCCCAGGTCTAATTCTAAAATGCCTCCTCCTCGGCATTATAGTTCAGAATCAAGGATCATTGTTTCTAACCTTCTCATTGTAAAATGAGGAAACTAAAGTCAAGAAAAGGGAGGGGATTATTTCCCAAGGGTCACTGGGTAGATGGCAGAGTAGGAGGTCCCTAAGCTTGCCTTGTCCCAAAGGCCCTAAATAACACTCACATCAGGGTAAATAACCTAGAAAACAGTCTGAAAACTGGCAGAACAAACTCACAACTAAAGGTAGAGAAGAGGCCACATCAGAGAAGGTAGGAAGGATGAAGACACAACTTGAGATTGAAACAGACCATAGCCAGCCACAGTGGAGAGACAACCGTGGTCCAGAGAAGGGTGAAAACAGACTTTTGCACCAGGGAGCCCATGAACAAAGAGGATGAATCCCCATGATATTTGCCTTGGAAAGCAAGAGGGGCCGAAATTCATGAGTTCTTACAACCAATGGGACTTAAAGCCTGGAATTTTTTTGTGTTTGTTTGTTTGTTAGGGAGAGAGAGAGCACCAGTGGAGGAGAGGAGCAGATGGAGATTGTGGGGTTATTTCTTGAAAATGTATTGTAAAGTCCTAGAAGGTGAACGGGGCAAAAACTGAAATATCAGCAATGTTCTGGTCTCAAGGCTGTCAAACGTGATAGCACTATGAGATACAGAGCCCCTTGATCTCCCTAGAAGACAGTTAAGATACAAAACCTGTTGTAACTCCCTGAAACTCCTTGAAACTACACCTACTCCCTGAATGTCTTCTTGTAGCCAGCAGGTGCATGTCTGGTTTATGTCTAAAGATCCTTTGTGTTCTCTTTCCATGCTTTGATAGTCCTTGATACTTCTATCCAATGAAAATATGAAATAAAGTCTATGTGCAGATCCCAGGCCACAGCTGCTGCTGCTCTCTCGCAGAGGCAGTCCTGCATATCTGCTCCCTCTGGTGTCTGAGAACTTCTTCAGTGCACGGCCACAGGAGGGAGAAGAGAGAGACAGACAGACAGAGAGACAGACAGACAGACAGACAGAGAATCCTAAGTAGGTTCAATTCGCAGCACAGAGCCCGATGTGGGGCTCAATCCCATGACACTGAGATCATGACCTGAGCCAAAATCAAGAATAAGAAGCTCAAAACTGAGCCACCTCAAACCTGGAATTTTAAAAATCAGCAGGCTCCGCTCTGGGAGAACCTGGAGGGCATTAGGAAGTAGAATTCCTGCCCTTAAAGAGACAGCATGACCAACAGCCCATGCAGACACAGAAATGTGAAAAAACACCAGGGGTTGGGGGACAGATGGGAGGGAGAGTAATTTTCTCATCTCAGAGCATGACCCAAAGGGACACAGATCACAAGGAGATCTCTCAGCATAAACAACAGACACTGCACTGTGGGAACAAGTGCAGCCCACACTCACTACCTACGTTGCTTACACCAAGCCTCACCCCCTCACACTTTGGTGAATCTGCCCTTCCCAGCTACACTGGCCTTAATGCTCCTGCTGTGTGCCCCCTCCACCAGGAGACCAGTGCAAACCCCACCAACACCTCATCTCTTTACCTGCATATTTTGTGGGACCTGAGGCCCAGTGGGGGGGGGGGCACCCCTGCTGGAGGTCAAACACTACCTATAATAGGCAAAGAGAGCTTCTGCAGACAACTGAACTGAAGGAAAAGAGGCCAAGACTCAATAGCAGAGCACACACAATACACATAGGAGATACTACTCCCTGAAGCTCCAAGCGCTAGGAATGGGACACTCCACTACAGACCTTTTCTTTATAAGGCTATTATGTTGAGAGCAAGAGAGGTAGCAGATTTTCCTTACACACAAAAACAGACGCAGAGAGTTTTACAAAAGGAGGAGACAGAGAAATATGTCCCAAATGAAAAAACAGGACCAAATCACAGCAAGAGACCTAAGGAAAAAGGATATAAGTAATATACCTGATAGAGAACTTAAAGTAATGATCATAAAGATACTTACTGGACTTGAGAAAAGAATGGAGAACATCAGTGAGACCCTTAACACAGAGATTAAAAAAAGACCAATCAGAGATCAAGAATACAATAAATGGAATAAAAAAATACACTTGATAGAATAAATAGCAGACTAGATGACGTAGAGGAATGAATTGATGACCTGGATTGCAGAGTAAAGAAAAGTAACCAAACTGAGCTAAGGAGAGGAAGGAAAATTATGCAAATTGAGAATAGTCTTAGGGAACTCAGTGACTCCATCAAGGGTAATAATATTAGCGTGATAGGGCTCTCATAAGAAGAGAAAAGGGGGCAGAAAATTTATTTGAAGAAATAATAGCTGAAAACTTCCCTAATCTGGGGAAGGAAACAGATATCCAGATCCAGGAGGCACAGATATCCCCCCACCAAATTCAACCAAGGAGGTCCACACCAAGACACATAGTAATTAAAATGGTGAAAGTAGTAATAAAGAAAAAAATTTAAAGCAGTAAGAGAAATGAAGTTACACACAAGGGAAACCCCATAAGGCTAGCAGTAGATTTTTCAGCAGAAATTTTTGCAGGCCAGAAAGGAGTGGTATGATATACATTCAAAGTGCTGAAAGGGAAAAATCTTCAACCAAAAATACTCTCTCCAGAAAAGCTATCAATGAGAACAGAAGGAGAGACAAAGGGTTTCCCAGACAAACAAAAACTAAAGGAACTCATGACCACTAAACCAGCCCTACATAAAAACAAAAACAAAAACATAAAAGCAGTAAAAATAAGTATTTCTACAAAAATCATCAAGGGATTTCATAAAAAAATGGAGGGGGGATGTAAAACATGACACTATATACCTAAAATGTGATGGGAAGAGGAGTAAAGGATGGGTTCAAATTTAAGTGACAATCAACTGAATATGGGCTGGTATAAGCAGATGTTATATACCAAACGGTAATCACAAATCAAAAAACCAGTAATTGAAAAAAGAGAAAGGAATCCAAGTATATCACTAAAGAAAGCCAAAAACCATGAAAGAGAACAAGGAAGGATTAGAAAAAAATCTATAGAAACAGCCATAAAACAAGTAACAAAATGGCAATAAATGCATATCTATCAGTAACTACTTGGAATGTAAATGAACTCAATGCTCCAAACAAAAGACATAGGATGATTAAAAAAAAAAAAAAAAAAGACATAGGGTGACCGAGTGGATAAAAAACAAGCCCTATCTATGTGCTGCCTATAAGAGGCTTATTTCAGACTAAAAGATGCAGATTGAAAGCAAGGGGATGGAGGGGCAGCTCAGTTAGAATAGCATGCAACTCTTGATCTTGAAGTTGTGGATTTGAGCCCCACACTGGGTGTAGAGATTGCTTAAAAATAGAATCTTTAAAGAAAGAAAGAAAGAAAGTTAAGGGATGGAGAAACATTCATCACGCAAATAGATATCAAAAGAAAGTGGGGTAGCAATACGTATTACCAATACTTGTGACCAAAGAGATTTTAAAACAAAGACTGTGACAAGAGACAAAGGACACCATATAATAATAAATGGGACAATCCAACAACAAGATATAACAATTGTAAATATGCATCCAACATGAAAGCACCTAAATACATAAAACAGTTAATAACAGGGGCGCCTGGGTGGCTCAGTTGGTTAAGCCTCCTACTTTGGCTCAGGTCATGATCTCATGGCTGGGGGGTTTGAGCCCTGTGTCAGGCTCTGTGCTGAGAGCTCAGGGCCTGGAGCCTGCTATGGATTCTGTGTCTCCCTCTCTTTCTGTCCCTCCCCTGCTCACACTCTGTCTCTCTCTCTCCCTCTAAGATAAATAAACATTAAAAAATAAATAAAAGAAACAGTTAATAATAAACCCAAAGGAAATAATTGGTACTAATACAATAATAGTAGGGCACTTTAACACCCCACTTATATTTAAAAATTTTTTTAATTTTTTAACATTTATTTATTTTTGAGAGACAGAGAGAGGCAGAGCATGAGCAGGGGAGGGGCAGAGAGAGAGGGAGATGGAGAATCTGAGGCAGGCTCAAGGCTCTGAGCTATTTGTCAGCTTAGAGCCCGTCGCGGGGCTCGAACTCACAAACCATGAGATCATGACCTAAGCTGAAGTCGGATGCTCAACCAACTGAGCCACGCAGGTGCCCCTAAAATTTTTTTAAATGTTTTATTTATTTTGTAGAGTGAGACAGAGAGAGACAGAGTGTGAGTGGGGGAGGGGTATAGAGAGGGAGACACAAAATCCAAAGCAGTCTCCAGGCTCTGAGGAGTCAGCACAGAGCCTGACGTGGGGTTTGAACCCACAAACCGTGAGATCATGACCTGAGCTGAAGTTGGATGCTTAACTGACTGAGTCACCCAGTTGCCCTAACGCTCCACTTATATTGATGGACAGATCATCCAAAAAGAAAATCAGTAAGAAACAATGGCCTTGAATTACACACTAGATCAGATGGATTTTACAGACATATTCAGAACATTCCATCCTAAAACAGCAGAATAGACATTCTTTTCAAGTGCACATGGAACATTCTCCAGAATAGATCACATATTAGGCCACAAAACAAGTGTCAACAAATGCAAAAAAATTGAAGTCATATCACGTGTCTTTTCTGACCACAACACTATGAAACTAGAAGTCAACTACAAGAAAAAAATCTAGAAAGACCACAAACACACGGAGATAAATAACATGCTAATAAACAATGAATATATCAGCCAAGAAATCAAAAAATAAATAAAAGGGGCACCTGGGTGGCTCAGTTGCTTGAGCATCTGACTATGGACTTTAGCTCACATCATGATTTCACGGTTTATGAGTTTGAGCCCCACGTTAGTCTCTACACTGATAGTGCAGATCCTGTATGGGATTCTCTCTCTCTCTCTCTTTCTCTCTCTCTCTCTCTCTCTCTGTCTGCCCCCCCTTGCT